TGGGTCGCAACCAGCATTTAAAAAAAAGAACTAGAAGCCGGGCATGGTGGCTCATGCCTGTAATCCCAGCACTTTGGGAGGCTGAGGCGGGTGGATCACTTGAGGTCAGGAGTTCGAGACCAGCCTGGCTAACATGGTGAAACCCCATCTCTACTAAAAATACAAAAATTAGCTGGGCATGGTGGTGTATGCCTGTAATCCCAGCTGAGGCTGAGGAAGGAGAATCGCTTGAACCCGGGAGGTGGAGGTTACTGTGAGCCAAGATTGCACTGCTGTACTCTAGCCTGGGCGACAGAGTAAAACTGTGTCTCAAAAAAAAACCAAACAAACAAGAACCACAAAAACCACAAAGAATTAGGAAAGAGTGGAATTAAAAAAAAAAAAAGAGTTCACTGCCCATAAGAAGGGTATGGTTTCATCAAGCTTGTTTCAGGTGTGTGTGTCTGGATGATGATGTGTGCGGGTTGCAGTTCATTAAAAACAGGGCTCTGTGAAGCCTACTCTGTTCAGTGAACCAGTCCAGGGGTGGCCCCTGGAGCATCTAACACAGGCCCCTGCCTCCAGGAGTTGAGGATCCAGATAGAGAGGTGTGGAACTGCAGAACAGGAAGTGCTGAGTGCAGGGTGGGGGAGGAGCGCAACCCAGGCCCTAAGACGGCCCAAAGAGGGAGGGATTTACGGAGATGGCTTTGAGCTGACCTTTAGTGGGGCTCAGATTCTGACACCAGGGCCTTTGGAAAGAGGTAAAAGATACTGCAGGCAGAGGCTGATAAGATGCTGCCAGGAAGCGTGTGGAATAGCAACTGACTTGGCCTTGCTGGAGTGCAGGGTGTGAGAAAGTAAATCAGGTTTAAAAAGGGGCCGGAGAGGGCAAGGCGCAGTGCCTCACAACTGTAATCGCAGCACTTTGGGAGGCCGAGGCGGGCAGATCACAAGGTCAGGAGTTCAAGACCAGCCTGGCCAACATGGTGAAACCCTGTCTCTACTAAAAAATACAAAAAAATTAGCTGGGCATGGTGGCACATGCCTGTAATCCCAGCTACTCGGGAGGCTGAGGCAGGAGATTTGCTTGAACCTGGGAGGCGGTGGTTGCAGGGAACCGAGATCGTGCCACTGCACTCCAGCCTGGGCAACAGAGCGAGACTCCATCTCAAAAATAAATAAATAAATAAATAAATAAATAAATAAATAAGGCGGGGGCCAGGTGCAGTGGCTCACACCTGCAATCCAAGCACTTTGGGAAGCCGAGGAGGGAGGATCACTTGGGACCAGGAGTTCAAGACCAGCCTGGTCAACATAGCGAGACCCGGTCTCTACAAAAAAATAAAAGAATGAGCCAGGTGTGGGGGTGTGCACCTGTAGATGCAGTCAGTCAGGAGGCTGAGGTGGGGGGACCCCTGGAGTCCAGAAGTTGGAGGCTACAGTGAGTTATGAAGGCCCCACTGCATTCCAGCCCGGGTGACAGAGTGAGATCTTGTCTCCTTAAAAAAAAAAAAAAAAAAAAAAAAATCTGAGGCTGAACAGAGACGCAAAATTCAAAATCCAAACAGAGCTTGAAGAGGCTTTTCAACATCACCCAACAAATTCAACTTACAGATGAGGAAACTAAGGCCTATTCGCCCAATAACTGCACAGCACACAAGCCCAGGATTTGAAGGCTTCTGATCCGGCCTCTGTTCTTCCAGGCCACAGAGTTCTCTGAACACGGGCCCAGAGGCTAAGCTTCATCTTGTGTCTGTCAGCATCAGGGCACATTTTGGGTAGAACAGCAGGTCGCGATTCTGACAATACCCTGGGTGCCTTAACCAGATGCTGTTTTAATCCGCCCCTCCCCTTACCAGGTGAGAAACAGCTGTGAGTTAGAAGCCCTGTAATCACCCACTCACTCCCTGTGGACTCGCCAAACATTCCAGCAAATCTTTAGCCACTAAAGTTTTTTTTTGTTGTTGTTTGTTTGTTTTAGACAGAGTCTCACCCTGTCACTGGGCTGGAGTGCAGTGGCTCTGATCTCAGCTCACTGCAACCTCCGCCTCCCAGGTTCAAGTGATTCTCTTGCCTCAGCCTCCCGATTAGTTGGGATTACAGGCACCCGCCACTACGCCCATCTAATTTTTTGTATTTTTAGTAGAGACGGAGTCTCACCATGTTGGCCAGGCTGGTCTTGAACTCCTGACCTCGTGATTCGCCTGCCTTGGCCTCCTAAAGTGCTGGGATTACAGGCGTGAGCCACCGTGCCCGGACTTGCTGGTTTTTGAGACAGGGTTTCGCTCTGTTGCCCAGGCTGGAGTGTAGTGGAGCGATCTTGGCTCACTGCAGCCTCATCTCCCTGGGTTCAAGTGATTCTCCTGCTTCAGCCTCCTAAGTAGCTGGGATTACAGGCGCCTGCCACCATGCCCAACTAATTTTTGTATTTTTAGTAGAAATGGGGTTTTACCATGTTGGCCAGGCTGGTCTCGAACTGCTGACTTCAAGTGATCTACCCGCCTCGGCCTCCCAAAGTGCTGGGATTACATGTGTGAGCCACCCTTCCTGGCTCCCACTAAAGTTTTAGAAAAAGTTATTTTCCTTTTTGTGTGGGCTGTAGGCCATTCTCTACCCAGTCCACAATTTCTATAAACCCTGGGACTCCACACAGCAAAATTCCATCCACGCCATGCTGATGAATTTTGGGCTTACGACCTTCATGGTTTTAGGCTTCACTTTGTTCAGATTGTGTCATTTTACACATTAAGAAACTGAGTTCCAAAGCAGCTCTTTGTGCATGGGGTCAGTGAACGTGAAGGCACAAGGGGTGGATTCAGCCCTCATGACTGCAGCCCGTGGACTCCTTCCCACCAAGCTCATCATCAGAAACTTGTAGCATTTTGGGCATGAGATATAAAAACCTTAGCTTAGTACCTGTGACAGTGGCAAAGACTAGCAATTTCATATTGTGGAATTGACAGTCTTAGGGTTATTTTCCAGATAGGGAAATTATATTATCTATTTTATTGCAAAAGAAAACTTTGCGTGTTTAAGAATTTTTCAGGCCAGGTGCAGTGGCTCACACCTGAAATCCCAGCACTTTGGGGGGCCGAGGCAGGAAGATCACTTGAGGCCAGGAGTTTGAGGCCAGCCTGGCCAACATGGTGAAACCCCGTCTCTAACAAAAATACCAAAATTAGCTGGGTGTGGTGGCGGGCGCCTGTAGTCCCAGCTACGCGGGAGAGTGAGGTACGAGAATCACTTGAACCCGGGAGGTGGAGGCTGCAGTGAGTCGTGATCGTGCCACTGCACTCTAGCCTAGGGAACAGAACAAGACTCAGTATCAAAAAAAAAAAAAAAAAAAAAAAAAAAAAAAAATCAGGAATGCACAGAGAGGATGGCAGAATTTTAAAAACATATGAAAAAGCCCAGGTTATATTTGTTGTCCTCTTTCCTTCAACTGATTTGATGCTTCAACTTCTTTTTATGCTACATATGTAAAGAATGCATCTTATTTCCCCTCATCTACCTTGATTGAGGCAGAAAAATGGATAAACAGCAAATGCTGTGGCAAATATCCATCCAAAGTGGTAATTATTGCATCATTATATTCGCTATTTTACCTGTCATGTACCATTAGAAGGTAACAAGATCATTGTCAGTCAAAGATGGGGGAGATAATTAGAGTATCTATAGGTTAGCAGGAAATCAAATTGGTGCTGGTACCCATCAGTGCCGAGGAGCTGGGCGTAATTAGGGGGAAAATATGCAAAGGGTGAGATGAATGAAGCCCTGGGGATTAAATACCGTGGCTGATTTGAGAGTTTGACTCTCCTATGTTCTGACATGGCAGATGGCGACGTCAAAATACATGTACAATTGCAGCAGTGAAAAATAGCAAAGCAAGGCGCCACTGCTACTGTCTGCAGGGTCCTGAGAAGTGCCTGAATTGGAAAAACACAGTGTTTATCTTGTTTTCCAATCCACTGGGTTTTTCTTCCTTATTTTGTCCAGTTTGGAGTTAGGTATTAACATAGGAAAACAGGGATGAGTGAAATGGGCTTTTATTCAAGAAGTCCCTGCTCTGCCCAGATTAGTGGATGTCTGCAACTGGACCGTCTTCTCCGTGCCCTTTTCTCACCCTGGACTGACTTTTCCAGGGCTTTGGACACACTTCTCAGATGCCCTGTGAAACCACAGGAGTCCACAGCACTCGCCAGCCACAGACCTGCCCCACAATTTCTGAACATTTCTATCTGATTCCCATTCAGCAGCTACCCAGATCTTGCTAACTGGAACTGCTTTTGCTTTTTCCCTAGTAACATACAAACACCCATGCAAACAATCTCATCCAAATAGCAATTTCATCAGGTCGATACAAGAAAATTTAACAATTTTTTTTTTTTTTTTTACATCATGGAAAAAAAAAAACAAACAGATTTTAGAGGACAGGGAGACTGCAAACTGATGAGGACTACACCACATAATTAAAAGAGAAAAAGCCAAGACAGGAAAAAAAAAAAAAAATCTGGAAGGTCTTAAGTAACACAAGACTGACTGAGTCCACAGATACTGAAATACAATGGAATGAGCAAGCAAAAACTGTTGTCACAGGCCCTGGGTCAGATTTCTCATCACTGCTGGAAAAGCAAACACTTTCGCTGACTTTTGAAGTAGCTCAGAGGCACAAACAGAACTGGCTAACGTGGCCCACACGGTACAAACGTCTATGAAATCCAGAAGTACCTGACTTTTACAGCATTTTGGACATACAAAAAATGAACAGAACACCCCCCCGGTAAAACAACAACAACAACAACAACAAAACCAACCACAAGCAACTGTGTGGGGTGCAGATGTTTACAGTAACGAATTGGCGAGACACTAACCGAGTTGGGTAGGGTGGTCAGCCACGGCAGGTGAGCCTTCTGTTCTCACGCAGGCTGGGTTCGAGGGATTTCTTTTCACGAGCCCGGTCTTGTACAGGGATGGCTTCTTCCCTAAGGTAATGATGGTCACCTCACACAAACAAGCAGCTGGAAGCTTAGTTCACATTTTTTAATAACATGGCACAGTTTACATTACACAAGAAGGCTCCGCCGATGAGAACATGCTGAAGATTCAGTTGCTTCACTTTTCTTTTCACATAGGATCTAGAAAGGACTTTATTACATACAGGATAAACAGCAAAAAGGTCCGTATAGAACAATCTCTTTACAATACTGAAAGCTACCACTACAGTTCCAGTGTACATATTCCTTGGATTTTTTTTTTTTTTTTAGTTGTTGTCGTTAAAAAAAAAAAAAAAACAAAAAAACAAAATAACAAAAAAAAAAAAAACACCGCACAACATCTGGAGTTCACAAAATCTGAAGCTCACAACTAAACCTTCAGTTTACTACTAAAATAGATCTCTCTGCTTATTAGAAACAATGGTCTGTAGTTAACTTTTTTTTTTTTTTTTTTTGCAAAAACAGGATAACAACGTCAGATAGCACTTTAATATACTAGAAGACCAAATGGAACTAATTTTATTTCATACATATATTTTACAGTCCAGTAGACAAGATATATTGTATTTCTCTGCTAGTAAAGTCATATTCTCTCCAAATATGTAGACAAGAGGCTTAATGTATTATAAAAGTATTATGAAGAGACATTAAGATTGATGCAAACTCAAAAAACACACTCACACACAAGACTTTTTTTCTGCCATCTTTCACCCTCTAACTCGCGATGGCTCCACAAGGTTGACCTGTTACGGCTATTCCCAGACTTGATCACCAGCTGGAATACAGTGCGTCACATCGGGAAACGTGCACCTTACATCGGTCAGTTATTGAATACAGTGAAAACATATCCATCATCTGAGAAAACTTGAAGCTTTCTTTCAGGATCTGTTTGGGTGTAAGTAAATCTCATTACAAAACGAGGAAGTGTGTACAGGTATGAAATAGGACACACTAAAAAAGGCATGGTTCTCACATGAGGTGTGTGTGAAGTCACTGGCGACCTGTGTGTGTCTGACAGACACCACCACCCGTCCCCTGATTTTGGCATCTGGCGAATCCCACCCTCCCTGGCACCGGTTGCTCATGTCCTCAGTTACCTCTCCGGGGCTGCACTCTTCCCCAGAGCCCACAAGCGGCAACTTCAGATGCTAAGTTCCAGCCTGGGGTCCAATTTGCAAAATAGGATGTTTCTCCGTTTGAAAAAAAACAAGCAAGGAAAACAGAGTCATATCACGTAAGCGCTTGTTCAGGGAAAATATGACCTTAAGTATGTTGTAAATGGATTTGAAAAGGCTCCTTTGAGTTAGGCGGGCTTTTGTGAAAAGCCCGAACATTCATTGCATAGTTGAAGGGTTTAGCTGTCTATAACAATATATGGGAACACAGCCTTAGCCGACTGTGTTCACTGATATTAAGTTTGCAAGTAGCACATTTTAAGAAGTATTAATGTATTATGTTACTTAATCTTTATCTATTTACATTTGTACAAAGTAAAGCTTTCATCTTACCCTTTTGCATATATGAACCATTAGCTCATGAAGCAATCTCTTTTTACATAACTATGTACACTGTCTGTCTTCCCACCTCATCTGAAAGAATTCTGCATGATGGATGGCGTGGACTTCTCCCCCCGCCCCCCCAAAATTATCATCCAATTGGTGTGTGTTGTTATCTTCACTGTTTTGGTTCAAATCAAAAAGTTTTATACGAGAAAGAAAAAGTAGGAGACGTGAGAACATATGACTGGGCTAAAAGATCTGAAAAATCTCAACATATAATATACAAAACATTTCAAAATGTGCAGAGTCTATACATTTTTTACAAGGGGAAGAGGTGGGGCTTCCCCGCCCCCGCAGTCTATGTGAGCCGTGCAGGAGTTCTGTCTCTCAAGTCTGGCCTGGTGTCTGCCTAGGGTTTCTTCTTCCTCACTCGTGCTCCTGCTCTCGGCTTATCGGGCCTCGATATCCTTCAGCGTGTGGGAGGGGGGCCTCTCCCTTATCTCTGCGGACAGAGGAGTCGTCCTTCTGGGAGAGACCGGGCGGCCCCCCAGCGTGGAGATGAGCGGGGGAGGTGCGCTCAGCGCTGCTGTCGGAGGGGTCTTGTTGAGGAGTCCGTTCTGGTGGCCCGCGGTGGGGCTGATGCGGGGATAGTGCATGCTGGGGAGTCCCGGGGTGATGAGGCTGGGGTGGGGGAGGTGTCCGTCGAGGGAGGCGGGGTGCACGGAGTGGAGCCGCGTGTGCTCGTAGTCTTCTCTGAGCATGTGCAAGCGCTCCCGCTCGTCCAGGTGACCTCCCCGCTCGTGCTCCCGCCGAGGGTCCACAGACAGCGGGTGGTGGTGGTGGTGGTGGTGGTGGCTGTAGTCGTGAGGCTCCCGGTCCCTGAAGGAGCGGTCGGCTTCGTACAGCCGGGGAGTCGAGAGCCGGTGGAGCGGGTCATTCCTTAGCAGAAAGTCCCTGCCCAGCGGGTCTCTCCGGTGAATGTCAAGTTCTCGGTAAGGATCCCTCAAGGGGTCCCGGATGGGGTCCCAGTGGAAAGAAGGGTACGGGAAGCGCTCTCCGCCCGGGAGGGGGCTGATGCCCATGAAGGGGGTCATCATGCGAGTCCTGTCCAGGCTGCTGATGCTGTTCATGGGGTGAATGCCCGTCACCCCCACCGTCATGGGCATCGAGGCCAGGGGCCCCGGGTGCACGCTGGACGAGGAGTTGGGAGGCGGCGGCTCCGAGGCCCGGTGGGTCTGCGGGGCCTCTGGAGGCAGGTCGTGGTCTTCCTTCCGCTCCTCCTTCACCTTGACCTCGGAGTTCTTCTTGGGGTTCTCGTAGGCCGGCTCACCCTTGCGCGGCTCGGCCTCCCGGCTCGAGGTGCTGTTGGGCCTGGCACTCTCCACCACCGGGGTCCGCACGTAGGGAGACGGCACCCGGGCCAGCTGCTTGGCCTCTTCGCCCGCGGCGCGCCCCTCGTGGCCGTGCCCGTCCTTCTCGGGCAGGTGGCCCTCTTTCGCCTTGTGCTCGTCGGCGGCCAGGTCCTTGCGGGATTCCGAGTGGTCTCTCTCCCTCTCTTTGGGTTTGTCCTTCTCCCGAGCCTCAGTGTTCAGATGAGCCCGGATCTGGTCAGTGGAGCTGCGGGTATGTCCCAGGGCATTCACCGGGAGGATAGGTGCTGGTGAAGGGTGGCTGGAGTGTCTCTTCTCGACGCTTTCCCTGGGGGAGAGAGGGGAAGACAAGGACGCAGATGAAATGAAACCGGCGAGTCGGCCGAGCCAGGGGCTGCGGGTGAAATGGTGGTGTGAAGAGGACAGGCTGGGGGCTGCTTCCCATGGTCGCCAAGGCAGCGGCCATGCCCTGGGCAGGGCAGAGCCAGCCACCCTCATCCTACTTACCTAGATTTTAGAGGAAGCTTAATGGGGGAGACGGACCAGGGATGAGGGTGAGGGGGAGTCTGCCGGGAGCAAGAATCTCTCTGCATGTAAGAGCCTCAGCCAAGAGCACAGAAGAGCTTCCAGGAAGCCAAGATGGCTGCATGCGGTCAATAAGGCAGTGATGCGGCAATTCAGCCCCACTGTCTGGACGCTCGGGATTGTCTAGTGTTAAGAATCACGTTTTAAGAGCCCAACGCCCGCCAAGTATCACTTTTCTTCCAACTTTGCAACACAGAGCCAGTGGAAGGAAGGGTTCAACGTCAGTGTCACAGAAGTCTCTTGCTCCTTACAAGGACAAGTGACCAGTTTCAGAGCAAAGAACGTGGATATGGAGCCATCTCCAAGACACAGCATGTGAGAGAGGCTCAAAAGGAAGTCACAGCTGGAGGACTTTTGGGTTGCAAAGAGCACTTGTGCACCAGATGGGACAAGAAATCCAAAGTCTGATGAGAAGACCGAGGGAAGGCAGTAGGAAAAGCAGGTCCCTAAACCCAAAACCTCATGAGGACATTGAAAACAATTTTAGAGAGCAGCTGTGAGTGAAAACGCGAGACAAGAATTTTAGAGACCTGTCTTGGATGGGGGCTCAAGAGTATTGGGCAGAAAATGCAAAAACAAATAGAATGACAATAAGGTAAAACTTGAGTTAAAACTAAGACCAGGCAAATCTTACAGATGGCGCCAAGACAGATATGGCAAAGTTGAGGAGAGTGGCAGCCTGCCACGCTGGCTTGGTGCCGGTGTGCAAGGATCAGAGGACCACAGTGAGAGAATTCAGGAGGCTCCCGTATAAGGGCTGTTTCCTGCCCACATGCAGAGAAGAAGAGTAACTTTTAAGGGAAGTATGGAAGAAGAGTACATTTTATTTATTAAGCTTCCTGACTTTAATCCAAGAGGCCATTTTGACGCCATCCAGAGAAACACGCAAAGGGCTGGTGGCCACATCCTGCACTGCACCTAGTGACAGGCTGTGTACGGAAAGCTGGCGGCCTAGGGTCGGCCACATTAGGTTGCTATGCGTGCCTCATTTCGGCAGTTCACAGCTCAGAGCTGAATGTCAGAAACGTTCCTCCCAGTGGTTAAGAGATTGTTATCATACTGCCTTGAAGGAAAATTTGTCTTTTTCTTTTATCAGTCAGCATAATGGCCTCTGATGAGTATCTACTAATCTGCCGCATTCAGAGCCTGCAAAGCTGAATTCTTTGAAATTACTAGGATATACACACACACACACACACATACACGGTATACAAAGAAAAGAAACATTAAAGATTTGGATCAAAATTGAATCTTAAGTACTGCAAGGAAATTGGGATTAGGTATTTTCTGTCAGGCATATTTGTGCATTCCTTATCAGTTCATTTAAACTGAAAATAGCCTAAAGAAAGAAAAAAGGAGACATTTTGTCAAGAATGCGTATGATATTCTTTGGAAAAAAATACTGCAAGACATTCCCTCTTTAACACTACTTTTTTTTCTAGGCATGGGTTACCAAGTGCAGAGACAATGGTTAACAAAATTATCCACTAGTGAAACCAAAACCAAACCAAAACTGCTTGTCGACGTTTCTCTACATCTAGGTGAGTAAAATCGTATTAGTCATCTGTGAGCCCCAGGCTTTGAGTTTGAACAAAATTTGAGAAAAATATGATGAGGCAATGCAAACATGGCTTTCTAAAAGAAAACAAAAAGAAGAAAAGAGCGAGAAAAACCTATGGATGGTTTAATGGACTGCACGGACTTGAAAGCAAATATGGAATTGATTCATGCTGTGTGTGTCTGGCCCAAAGCTCCAACTCCCTGTCTGCTAGAGAAAGACTTCTGTTTGGACACGCTAACGGGGTCTTAGGACGTGCTGATGTATAACTGCGACTGAGACAGGAATCTGTTGCTAGCTCTGCTATCTCCTACCATCACCATATGCTACGGGCCATGGGGACTGCGAGGGGCTGCGGGCACTGGCTGTGGGGATGAGCTGAGGCTACTGGGGTGGCTAAAGCACGAGGCTGGGACAGGGAGGGTGGGCGGCCGGTTCCACTGGTACTTGGCACAGAGCAGGCTCCCCCGTGGGGACTCGAGAGCGGTTTCTTTCCGTACCTTTCTTTGTCATCTTTACTAACAGATGAGTCTCGTTTATCTACATCTCTATCTCTGTCATGAGCTGCAGCGGACGCGCTGCGCTCCAGCTCCCCTGGCTTCAGCCAGGGCGGAGGGGTCGGGAACGACGGAGGCGTTCGGTGCAGCCGGTTCCAGGGTTCGTGAGGGTTGCTAAAGTTCTGCACACTGGGGCCATCCTTGTGGCCGAACATTGAGTTGGGTGCTGAAATGGTGAAGTGGAGAACAAAAAGGTTTAAGAGAAATTATATAATCTGCTGTAATGAAGGTACTTACCAAAAAACTTTTAACAGCATTCAGAGTTAAAATGAATACATATTATTGGGAGCTGGAAAAGGAAAGGAGATTAACAAATTCATTAGAGGAAGTCTTGTCCTACACTGGAGAGGTAGCTCACAGCTTTCTTTTTCTTTTTAAAACCAAAAAGCAAGGGTGGGGGCAGGGAAAATTAAAAAGGAAAAGGGACCAAATGGGTATTGAGATAACCTAATTCAACGTATCTGGTGCATGCATAAGTTCCAGGCATGCAGAAGGGTGTGTTATGATGGTGGGATTTGGATTAATAACTCTAAATTAATTCAGAGTAGAAGTCACCGTCTCCTTTACCCACCGCGGCCCTCTCAAGTGTCACCAGAGACCAGATAGGACCTTGCCCTCAACAGACACACCAGTCTCCTTGATGTATTTTAAATAAAGACCGACCTGTGACGGTATGCTTAGAGACACGTTTTAGCTCTTCCTGTACCCAGAATATATGGTATGTGGCACGAAAGAAAATAATTTGCATATCCAGCGACTAAATACTAATGTTTAGAACGTGAGATGGGGTTGTAATTCTTCTCCTAATCGAGGTGGGCTTTTTTAATAGTAGAAAACTGCAAAGTCCTCCTAGATGATGGAGAATAAAATGTTGCCAACTCTTGATTATCTCAAGCCTGGTGCTGTCTTACTGCTATTTTTCATTGTGCTTTTTTCAATTTCACGAATGCCACGGGCAAGATGAAATGTAACTACTGCTTTCATTTCTAATGTGAGTTGCAGCCAAAATCTTGGAGAGCAGAGATGGGATGTGGATGAAACTCTGAACTTGAGTAAACTCTCTGTGGTCATCAATGACACTGCCATTCCTGCCCCTCAGAACTGGAGAGCCACAGGGGGCCGCCCTCACAGTGGTGGCTCTGCACGCTTCCACCTCACCCCACTGTGAAGGCCTGCTGCTTTTGCAGTGATATAATCTACACTGGTCCCCCCCAGAGCATAGTTTTCCTTTTCTCTAGAAAGGTCTTGAGCCATATGCGGATCACAGGAGATAAAAAGTCCAAGGCAGATTTTTAAAAGTTAGAGGTACTCACTAACGGAAGGATTTCCAAGTCCCCCGAAGGCATTGCCACCAACGGCTGCTAGGCCTGTGAATGTAGACGGCCGATTAAAAGGCTCTGCAAACAAGATGGGGAGGAAGGAAATGGTCAGGGGCTCTGCTGAGAGAGGAACCCAGAACTTCCTGGGAGCAGGGCGGTGCGGGATCCCTGCCCTCTCTACACCCCCACCTGGCCTGTCCCACTTCTCCTACCGGATGGTGTAAAAGGTTTTCATTACACTTGGATTTAGGCACTGGGTTAGCAAAATCTTTCTGAGTGCTCTCATTCCACAACTGTGCATTTTGCATTACTCTTCCTTTGCCCAGTGGGGACACTACTCAAGCCAGGGTGTACAACTTGCCTTCCTGCCCAGTCTCGCCTCTGCCAGGAGTACCCTCTGCAGGTTCTAACAGAACAGAAAGGAGGTGGCATCTGAATCCATGGTGAAACTCTGAAGGCACGCCTACGATATGCCCTGATGTTGTGCAAGGCAATGCCTGCATCTGCCTGTACACTTTGCAGATGGGATCGAATATGCAAAGGCCACACAAAGCATGCACCTTCACTAGGAATAGACTCATTCATCGGGACGGTGACATGTGGAATAGCACCTCTCCATAACATCAGCTTGTGTTTCTTTCCGCTTCCTAGAGGTGACCTTCGCTACAGGGCAAGAGCTCACCATCTTCTTCCAAAGGGCAGGAACAGGCTGTTGTAAACTGGGATTCCCTGAGATACCAAGGGATGGCTCTCACCCACTGCACCATGGGAAGCTCAGGAAGAACCACTGCTGAGCACAGCTCCACTACCGAAAGAATGTGGTGTGAGGGATGACATCTGGAAGCTGGATGGCATGTATTGAAACTCCTAAGAGAGTACCATCTCCTGCCTAAGTGGTAAGCGGGGTATCTGGGACTCCCACCAGTTTGCCTGGAGGTGCAGTGGAAGCATGGTAAACACAGCAGGGTTGCCTGAAGCACACACTTCAGTTCCCATGACTTTGGGTGACTCACCTAGGTGGGCAGCGGGGTTGAGGAAGTTGCTGTGATGAGGAGGTGGCCCAAAAGGGGTCCCAGTTGGGTGTGCAGCACCTGTTAAGTCAAACATAACAAAACCAGAGTTTAAAAAAGCCAACTTCGAAGGTGCAACCAGCTTCTACTTGCTTAAGGGCCCCATGAGAAAAAATGCTCAAGGGAGGTCATGGCTAAAGTCCACCCAGGCCCCTGCAGGCAAGACACGGGGTAAAAGAAAATGTTGTTTTTGGAAGCAGAAAATCAATCATCCCTTTTTCACTTTCCCAGCATGGCTGGCCACCACCAAAAAGAGGTATTTCTTTTTAAAGCCGATGACACACAGTATTACAAAGACAGCAATAACTCCCCTGGGTCATGGGAGGAGGGGAGGTTCATAACCAAGTAAATTTGGAGAAATACTGGATTAAAAAGAGCTAAGCCAAGTTTCTTTACTGAAGGACTTCTTAGAGCCGTTAATAAGCTTATAGGCTCCTTCATTCTCTAAGAGGGGAACATTTCGTCACGGAACCCTTTCCTCATAGAGTGAGTATCTCGGAGGACCAAGTTTTCGCTTTGAGAAACACTGTGCCAGACACCCAGCCCGTTACCATCCCTGGCTCAGGAGGGGTGTGGTCCTGAAGCCGTGGTTCTCCGCTACGCTGCCCTGGGGCCTTGCAGAATCCCTTCTCCTGAAGAATATGTTAGTTCGCATGCAGCCACTTCGAAGGATACTATAAGGCCCAACTCTATAAAACTCATTGTTGTGAGTTACATTAGGTTTTAGGAGATGAAGTCCTCTGATGTCTCTCAACTTTCAACGCCAGGAAAAGCCGGTTGATTCTTCTGTTTTGGGGCACTAAAAATGTTATAACTGACTCACAGGTTTTTGCTTTGCCTGCCCGGGAGCTCAGGTCTAATTTAGTGGTTTCCTTCAGTTTTCCCTTGATCCACATTTCCTCCTCTACTCTGTATTTTGCCTAATGTGTATTTCTTGAAGATGCCTCTATTCCTATTCTTGAAGGAAGCCAGGAAAGGAAGGAAGGAGAGAGAAAAAGAGAGTGTGCAAATGTGAATTAGGGAAGGACATTTCTAAAGGCTTAGGGTGCCAAATGGGCTTGTTAATATGAGGCCACTTACTAGCTAAGGAGGCTAGCTCCCTGGAAGGCAGGCTTTGTCCTAGATGAGAGATTTGCCAAGGTCATCTGAAGAAGTCTCTAGTTTATATTCACGGGATTAGCACCCGAAAGCAAGATGAAAATGGCTGGATTTCTTAAGTATGTACAAGTTATACACATCAGTTACAAGGTTCACCAAATAACCATTTTGGGCAGAATCCCATACTGCTTATCCTAAAGACGGTTACATTCTAGAATGGAAGTATAAACAGGGCCTGGATAAAGAATTTAGGAATAACTGTTCCATAATCCTTTGCATTTTGTCTAAGTTCCTATAAACAAATATCAATTCCTTTAGGAAGATGGATTAAACGTAGGGGTCACTGCTGTCTGCAGTCTGTTAACTCAATTGATGTCTTGGGCTGCTGTTCCCTGGGCTGTGAAAGTCTTGTGGCCTGGGTTTGGAGAGGAAGCCACACAGTACAGAGGGAACATCATCCCGGTCCCGGGAGCTCAGGATTGGAAGACACCTGAGGGGTTATCTATCCAGTCCTGCACGCTGGCTTATTTTCCACCTGGGAAGTGTAAGAATGATACCCCGCCTCCACAAAGTGAACACATTCCAGGATATTCATCAGGCATTAGCACTGTTGTCAGCTAAATAAAATTTTGGCCACATACTGTCTGTGTAGTGCAAGCTAATTAATGCTTCAATGAAGACCAGAGCTTTGCTGAGCCCAGGGCCCCCAGGGGTGCCTTGCAGTTTCAGAATTATTGAAGCAAAAGAAGCCAATTCATCCACTTGGCTCAAATGGAAGCCAGAGAGAAATCTATTTCTCTCCAAAAATCGCTCTGAATGTAGCCCTGTCTCAGAGCCTAGGTGCCATGGTAACAGAGCCTTCAAATATGTCCCTAGACAGCACTGACAGAGAAAAACCTGAGACCTTAGCAAATTCCATCTACCCTCCAGGGGGATTCACTTGCTTTGCTAGCAAGGCCTATTATAATGATGATTTCTTGCAATGTGGGTGCTTCGCTCTTCCTGCACCGAAGAGCCAGAGGTCCACCCACAGTGAGTCTTGGATAAAAGCCTGGGGTGGCAGCTGGCAGGATGGCTGTGAGACTTGTCCCATAAGGATCAGAAATGGGGAGCCCCTTGACCGCTTACGACCAGAAGAATAAATTCTGCTTAGCACAGTGGGTATGAAGTTATTAGCAGAATGAGCTCAATGCCATCATTTTTAAGTGTTAACTGAGCAGAGCTCTGTGTGCCAGAAATTACGCTTAAAAAAGCTTTAAAGAAGACAGGATGACAAGAAACCCTTGATACCAAGAGGGCTGTTCTCATCCACCACACAGTCCTTACAGCCGCTGCCTTTTGTTTGTACCTGGAGCAGGAATGAGCATAATCGTCACTCTCTACCTCACCTCTTCCACATGCACGCTTGACAGTGTGTATTCTCAGAGGTTAAATGAATTACAGATCTGATGAACAGGTCACTTGGGTGTTTATGCTGTTTCCTAAATTTCTTCCATCGCTTTAACCAACCAGGCAATAGTATTATGTTTTGTAGCAGAGAAAACCAGCAACTGAGTGGCCCACCCTCCCTTATCACAGACCACACTCCTGGCAACTGCCTTAATCGTCTTTCTTTATCCTCAGGACACAAAACACAGCATGACTGAGCATCCTGGTGCAACATTACAGTGCTCTGCGGGCACCATATTAAGGGCAACCGCATCCTTCTATAATTCCTGGCATTGTTTCCTTCCCATCTGCCCTTGCAAGCCTTCTGATCTTTCTCAATAGCAATTGACATGCTTGTGAGTTATACCCGTTTAATATAGAAGCAAATAATGAACCGAAGCGATGTGAATCCCTGTAAGGGAAAGATGATCTCTGCTTCCTCCTTTAATGAAAGAGTGTATCAATGAAGATTCCCAACCCGCTGGATGTGCTGCGATGTTGCCTTGCAAGCTGGCATACATTGTATTTTTGAAGGTGGTGATTGAGCGGCGGCTCAGAGCCCAAACCTCATTTATTTAGTTACCTGAGAACCACATTTCTCAGCTCTGCTCCCCCACCCAAACCCACACTCACCAGCGGCAGAGAACAAAGTTGAAGGCCGTGCCAGGTCATGGGGGTGGTGGATGGCTCCAAAGAGACTGGGGCCTGGAGGGCGGCTCAGGAACTCAGGTTTCAGTCCGAAGTCCAGCTTATGTGGGTCTGACTGCATCTGTTTCTACACAGCAAGGGGGACAGTAAGGGTCCCAAGGCCAACAGCAAGGAAGAAAGGTGTTAGTGAAGAGCTGGAGCTGGAGACTGTGAACGGTGCACTTGGGTTCAAGTTTACAAACACTGTGAGAGAAAGCAGCTACCCAAAAACCATTTCACCCTCAAATGTCAGATCTGCAGGCCGGTAGTGCCTGTTACACCAGAAATGTCTAGTGACAACACTAGTGTTTGGTCTGGTTTTTTCTTGTTTTTTTTTTTTTTTTTTGAGACAGAGTCTCCCTCACTCTGCCGCCCAGGCTGGAGTGCACTGGTGTGATCTCTGCTCACTGCAACCTCTGCCTCCCAGGTCCAAACGATTCTCCTGCCTCAGCTTCCCAAGTAGCTGGGATTACAGGTGCCTCCCAGCACGCCTAGTTAATTTTTGTATTTTTTGTGGATATGGGGTTTCACCATGATGGCCAGAGTGGTCTAAACTCCTGACCTCAAGTGATCCGCCCACCTCGGTCTCCCAAAGTGCTAGGATTACAAGTGTGAGCCACTGCGCCCAGCTATGTTTGGTCTTTAAGGTTAATGGCTTGAGAAATAAAACCATATCCTATTTATGGAGACTGCCACCACTCCCAAAGTAGTTCAGTGTTTTGCTATAAAGGCCCATTTTAGTAAGATTTAAAATAATGGTGTCTTAACGCTCATTTTATTAGGAATTCTGCATGAATAATCTGCTGTATAAATTAATTGTTTAATGACTCTTTGCCATACTCTAATAGATCACAGTTCATTAGTAACTGAAAGTTATGCAGAAATATTTGCATGTCTATAAGCTTTCAAATGATTATTGTTATATAATAAAAAAAGAAAAAGTAGGAATATTAATTTAACTAATAGAGGCCCTATCTCTTCCTTCTACCTGTAATTACCTGAGGAAGGTGGGGGGGTCCGTCCAGACAAGTAAACCATAATCCCAGCACTTTGGGAGGCCAAGGCAGGCTGACTGCCTGAGCTCAGGAGTTGAAAAGCAGCCTGGGCAACATGGTGAAACCCTGTCTCTACTAAAATACAAAAAATCAGCTGGGCCTGGTGGTACGTGCCTGTAGTCCCAGCTACTGGGGAGGCTGAGGCACGAGAATTGCTTGAACCTGGGAGGCAGAGGTTGCTGTGACCGAGGCTATCTCCAAAAAAAAAAAAAAAAAAAAAGACTCTTGTGTGAAGTCCTTATCATGGACAGAAATCACTCTGTTTCCTCTTCTTTATGCATCCTCAGGCTAATCTTTCTGCCCACCATCCTCTTAGGCAGCAGAAATTGGTTCATAATCTTCATCTCAATCTTCCCCTGGCATCATTCTCTAGGCTAGAGGCCCTCACACCAGCATGATTTCAAAGCTGCCCCACCTCCTTGTTTCTTGACAGCTTTCTCTTTGAACTGGCTTCACACCTCCTCGGATAAGCACTGCTCCCAAGGCCTGGGGTCCTGGGACTTGAAGCTTCCAGTTGACGTTCCCTTGCTATGATCTTGACTTTCCCTCGCTATGATCTTGACTTTCCCTCGCTATGAACTCTTTCCCATCCAGTCTCCTGGGTTTTCAGCCCCTTTAGCCCCATTCTAGCCTCAGCTCAATCTCTCTCATGTCCTGAGGGATCCTTGCCCAGCTGTACAACAGCAAAGCCCCATCAGGGGGCATCTACATTGACAGAACATGGCATGAGGGTCTGAGACAGGGAATTCTGCTATTCCCTTACTGCTGAAGGCAACGTCCCACTCATCCATCACCCCCACTGAAAGCGAAAGCTACCCGTGCTCCTCCAGCTGGAACTGACACCACCCATTAAGAGAGCACACACACTTTCCTCACTGTTTACACACACACTGATCCTCATTACTGAACTCTAAGCAACTAGACGCCAGGAAGAACGCGTGCCCCCAGCTCGGCACAGTAAGGAACTTGCAGGCATAGGCTCTTTCGATAAATACCGGGTAAGCGACTCAAAGAATGCGTAAAGGAACGTTACAGAGAAAGGGAAGATGCAATCTCTGCTCAAATCTACAGGGAACGCTATAATGAAAGTCCCGCCAGCAAGTCATAGCCAAGCCTCAAAACCAAGCTTCTAATTCACTATGAATCTATACAATTCTTTTGAAGACCTCCTTTAATTTGGTGGCCAAATTATTTAGTGCTAATATTGCATGGTACATAGCACAGTTCCATTAACCACAACTTAGGGCCATGAAGCAAAATGGAGCTTGGGGATTACAAGCAGTTTGCTGAAAAGGGAAGATGAACGAAGTTATCTCATGTTCAAGAGGTCTTTCTAATTGAATTGGGATAATGAACGTTTAAGTCACTGGGGACACTTTTATGGGAAAGAAGTTGCTAAAGTGGCATGTGCAACATCCCTCATCGCTTTTAACCAAAGAAGTTACAAGGAAGATGTGCTTTACCTACCGTTCCACCAACCACATCAACCAGAACAAAAACTGAATTGAACTAATCATCAAAATCTAGTCAGCTCTTCAAAGCATACGCATTTTCTAGGATAGACCACAAGACTTCCAATTAAACTTCCCCTAACGATAAAGTACAAGTGAGCCAAACTCACTGCTGGCATGTTATAAGAAAGAGCAGGTATCTGACAACCAAAGCAAAGTATCTTAGTGACCTCATTGATTGAGGTTTGCATCTTAACTTTTAACTGGGTTGTTTTATTTTTTATGTATTCATTTTTTTTTTAAAGAAATGGGGTCTTGCTATGTTGCCCAGGCTGGACGAAACTCCCAGGCTCAAGGGGTTCTCCTGCCTCAGCCTCTGGAGAGGCTGGAACTTGGGTTGTTTTATTTTAAAAATCATATAACCCTTTTAAAAACATTTCTCTTCTGTGATGAAGAGCTCTATCTTCTGGCTCACTGGTCTCCTGTATTTCTTTCATGAGAGCTCCCAAATGCTGGTAGGACTAAAAGCTTGTTCGTGAAGAAATGGATTAAGTGAAGCTTATTGGAGTTATCTGATTGCTTGTTTGCTCCTGTTTTTAAGGGCATCGTAACATAGCCTGTAAATATCCAGACTGTAAAATACAGACTTGTCAGTTACTTTGTTTCCTAAGCGAAGTGCTGATGCTGTATCCAGGGACTCGGGACTCGCAGAAGTTCTTGATCTCTCCCCTACTGAGTCATAAAGGCTCTAGCAGAACATGGAATATATTCATCCCTATGATGAAAATATAGACGAAAGGAAAAACCATCTTTGGACAGCGAGGTAACTGGCCAGAACGCGGCTCCTGCAAGTCCTGACTGTATTCCAGCCCCCGGCACTGACCATCAACAGGACCAGTGACAGTTCAGTGGCATCGTCTTCATATAGGGCATACGTGACTCTACTGTTTTCCCACAGCCAAAAAATGAAAAGAATGCAGCAGTCACTATTTTTACAAAAACCCAAACCCAACATTCATTTGTAGCTCTTCCCAGATGCAAAGTATTTTCTGTATTCTAATTTTTGGTCACTACAATTTTATTTCCAAAAGCTTTATTTTAGCATTTAATCCATATTCAAGCCCTTTGGATCAATAAAATGACAAAATTATAAAAAAGGGGAACCCCAGGGCATTATCAGTTTGCTTTTGTTTTGTAATTTCACTGGTGGTTTCCCTAATTAATAGATTTCTGAGCTGGCTGCTGTGGCTTGCACTATAATCCCAGCTACTTGGGAGGCTGAGGCGGGAGAACTGCTTGGGGCCGGGAGTCTGAGACCAGCCTGGGCAACACAGTGAGACCCTCCATCTCTACAAAAACAATCAAGAAATTAGCCAAGTATGGTGGTATATGCCTAAAGTCCCAGCTGCTTGGGAGACTGAGGTGGGAGGATCACATCAGTTACCAGAGTTCAAGGCTGTGGTGAGCTATGACTGTCCCCCTGTACTCCAGCCTGGGCAACAGAATGAGACCCTGACTCTAGAGGGGGGGAAAAAAAAAGTTAAGACTTCTGAGTAGCTTTTCCAAGAGGGGCTTGATCCTTCCTAACTATGGGTCTGTAAGATGTATTTTAAATGCCTCGTTAATCAGGTTCTCCTGAGCACATCACACACTCACATGCCCATCCCATTCTTCCTATACCAGGAAGGTTGGACTGACCTTGACTTTCTGTTGGTGGTGGTAAATCTGCCAGGCGATGTGAACATGCATAGCACACCACTTCCCTGGTTTCTGGAACAAGAAAGAGCAACGTGGTTAGGAGGAAGACATTTCAGAGAAAACCACCTTCAATTTCCCCAAAGCTTTCAGCAGATTTTGGCTGCAGAGGCTTTTTTCATGAAACAAGAGTGCTTTGTACTCTCCAAGTGCTTTTCCATCAGCAGCTCTCCAGCGCCCAGTCATAAGGGAGTCACAGCCAGCTCCCCCTCTTTCCCCATGTGGGCTTGCTACTCAGAAAACCACATTGACAAGGACCTCCCCGGTTAGCAAGGACAAGATGGCAAAAGCCTGAATCCCACTCTGTGTCTCTTCTCTTTCTTTTCTGGTGCCAGCTGGCAGACCTGGTAGAGTGGGAAGCCCTACTTAACAAACGCTGCCATGCTATAATGCAAATCAGCTGTTCAGAAGAGCTCATTAGTGAATGTCTGTGAGTCAAATAAAAATAAGAGAGGGTACAGAACCTGTCCTAACCGCCCCCAAGACTGTGGTTGTTTTTAACCCCCAAAGTGGTACAAAGAAATTCGCATTTTGACTGAAGCCCAGTTACCATAAATGCTAAGAGTCAACTACTCATTCATGTTGGTAGGCACTGTTCCTACGTTTAAAAAAAGAAAAGAAACAAAGAGAAGAATTCCTTCCTTCCTATTCTCTAGGCCTCTGCAGACCTCAAGTCCATCCTCCACCCTCTGGGGTTGAATTTGAATCAATTATCTCTCCAATTATTTCATGTCTTGCTTTATAAGGAGTGGAGTACTGTGAGTGTATTCTCTTCTACCAGTCAGCGGGCAGGGACCACCTCTTCACTTCATTTCTGCTAAGTTATCTACCCATAAGCTCGGGGTACGTGCTCAGTAACTACTGGATACATGAGAAGAAAACACAGCCTCATTCTACATCGGCGAAGAACAGAAGCTTCTGGTTTCTACAGTATGGGGTTATTGCCGAAAATATATACTTAAATGCAAGTCTGGGTCAGTTCTTTTCTCTTGCAATGAAATTATGGGTACTTTTAAATCACAAATAATATACTGCCTCACCTAAGTGATGACACAATTCTCCTTTTTCCCCTGGAGAAATCAAATTATCTGATTATATGCCCTAGAAATGAGTTATGCATAGTAAGAAATCTGCTGTCCATCCATCTTCTGTCCAACAATTCATCACGTCTGTCTTACCCCCAACCACCAGGATTCATTTAGAGGTCATCACACTGGCCACTCTCCAGACCTCGAGAACAATTTGCTTTAAGCAAGATGTTAAGAAACCAAATGCTTATAGTATCTCCTTCCTGCACCTTAAAAGGAGGTCAAACGGCTATGGCAAGTCAATGCCACTTAGTACAGAAAGAGGGAGCCACCAGCCAAAATAAACAGACCCAGCTACATATTTTCTAAGTGCGAGAGAGACTAACTTCAGCCTACAGCTTAAGTCTTTCCCCTTAAGTTCCAACTAGTCAAACCTTTTTCCAGAACTGCTAAGAAGCTAAGAAGAGATCAGACTCAGTTGACTTTTCTCTGTTGTAGAGAGAAAAAAGCCAATGGCCTCCAACGGTCAAAGCAAAACGATTTAGGCCATTTTCAATCACACTACCTGAAAAACCCAATCACCGTCATTCCGATGTCTTATTCCAACATTTCTATGGCTTATTTCCTTGTAATAGACTTGTATTTTTAACCCACAGGGAGTCAAATAGAGGTTGCAAAACAGTTCTATAAGAAGCTTTCTTACCCTTAACATAGGTCTGAAAGGATCTGTCAACTGTGAAGAGAAAATGACAACTTGGTTACATGCCTGTCACTCAAACAATTGCTCTAATTAACAAATTTGTAGTGCTTCATTAGGAGGGGAAATTAAAATGTTAGAATTTTACTTTTAAATGAAGTCCTTTTAGAGAATAATTAACCCATTTTCACACTATCAAAAGTGCCAAGTGTCCCCTCCCCCACTTCACAAGCCTTGGTACATCTACGCTGACAAGCCCCTGTACAAGTTTAATCAATAGCAATGTGCCCTCTGGCAATGTGATTTACTCACATCACACACCAGGAGTTTCACTGTTTTGAGCTCCAACCACACTGGGTAGGTCTGAGGCAGAATGGCCTTCAGACCCCAGGCTTTTACAGCTGTAGTACAGGTCTACTAACTGGTATCTGGGGAGAGGTGTTCTTTCCATCCATCCATCCAGGAGACTTAGGCTGTCTTTACCAATACCCTTACATTGATGACTTTACATTATTTATAGGTATTAGACATTTTCCAGAAGTTCACTACACATCATGACATACTTACATAGTTGAGTCATTTTAAACTTCTATCTAACTCTGGTTATCAATTTCTGACTGCCCTTATGTAGGTAAAAAGACAATATTGTTAAAGATGTTTTCATATTTCGTGTAAAGATGACTATAAATAACAATCAATGAGGCAAGATTTTATCTATCGTATAACTTCAAATTCCTTTTTTGGAAGCAGGCAGTGGTAATAAATTATGAATAAACAACATAACCAAAGCATAATGGATATTTTATTTAGCTCTAGAGTACAAAAGGATCCCTAGCACGTTAAAAATAGAGGGCCAAAGAGCCGTGCAGTACAATAACTTCCTGACCCCAGGCAAGGGGGGGATGTGTAGCCTGACTTCCAGGAAGAAAAGCACCTTAGTGCTTTTCCATTCAAAACCTTCTGTAGCTACTTCATTTGTGTAAGACAATTTAAGGAGACCATAGAAAGAGAAGATGGGTTAAGTAAAAAGTATACAAGCTGACACTGTCCAATTTCTGGGCTCAGACCATAACTCATTCCTCTTTTCTCCCATTGGCAAGTCGGTCTCTTTGTGTCCTACGCCCGCAGTGAGCAGCAGAGACTGTTCTCTAAGAGTCATTGGCATTTTCTTCCACAAACTGGAAGAACAGCTGAAACAGCAGCTCGCTCAAAGGAGCTACGGAAGATGCAAGCACTGGGCTGGCCGACCCGTGCAAACACACACCCCCTGGTGTTACCTGAGACCAAGCCTGACTTTGCACGTACCCTCGGGTCCTTTTGTAGTAAAGTGTGTGGGACTGTCCCAGGCCGAGCAGCGACATCGATAGGGTTGGATGTCTACAAATTAATTAGACCACAGCTTACTTAGGAAGCACAAAACAGGTGACACGAAAGCAAGATCCTTCCCTCCTCCTAAAGGAGAGAAGCCAAACTTCATTTGTTTGTTTCCTTCTGAAATGCAAGATTCATTTTTCTCAAGGACCACACATGCTCTTTCTCAAAGGGGCCTGACCACAGCTTGCTCTCTCCAGCAATGGCATCTAAAAGCAGAGAGAGGTCCCCAGAACATTTCACTGCAATAAAAAGCACAGGACCAAAAAAGAGAAGCAACAAACGTAAATGCTGTCCTGGAACTCCTCTTCCTCCAAATGAACCCATGGCAGGGACTGCCATTGGTTTTTTTTTTTTTTTTTTTTAATCACCAAACATTCCAAGAAATGCTTAAGTGAACATTATTATAATTGGCAGGATCAGGTGTTTCTCATCAGAATAACTGAAAGTACAGACATTAAGCTCTCAGTTTTAACTGGTAGACAATAACAAGGAATTACACTCAGTAATTACTCATTAGCAGTGGTGGAAATGGGACAAGAGAACCTAATTTAGGGACCTTGCGGATCTGCTCTTCGATGATTTCTAAAGCAATTCTGCTTGCTCTTACCTATTCCCACCAACATTCTCAAATATTACTCATATTAACCTTATCTGTGAGCTTCTGTCCTTTGAATTAGCAACAATACAAAGCGTACTTTGGGCGCAATCACTGCTTTCTAGTGGGAAAGGATTCAGGAGACACCACCAGTTATTTTATTGAAGAAATCACAACTTCTATGAACACCCCCCACGCCAGGATGTTAAACTTGTTGGGAAAAAGAGCTCAAGTTTAGGCACGAAGCTTGCCTACAAGGAGAAGGGGGGAATAAAGAATGAAAGAAAGAAAAGCAATCAGCTGCAGTACAACTAACAATTAAGCTGGAGTTGTTAACAGCCTGATTTGCATACATATGAAGAACTCCACTAATGAACTGCAATCTACATATTCAATCAGGACGATGGCCTGGAAAGGCCTATTTCAACACCAGGAGAGACACTTTCTTGCCCAGATGTAGTTTTCTGTGTGATTGGATAATTGTGAGTGAGGGACATAGTCTAATTTATTAAATGACCTACCAGTCTGCTTGGGGAGGCCCCAGAGATTTGGTGCAACCTAGAGGGGACAGGCCCGGGTCTGAGGAAGTAGTAAAGTGCAGACTGGGGGAAGGAGTTTAAAATCACCATCATTTTATCTCCAGATAGGAGGTGTTTAACAAGGCCGTCATAAAAGCCCAGTGTATCAGTAACCTTGCATATAGGCTGCAATTCAATGGCGGCAAATTCAATAGATGAACTGAATTCAATGCAATTCAATGCAGGTGATTTTGAAGGGGAGGGGAACCCCCACCTCTAATGCCTTTTAATTCTTTTCCTGTGCCTAGTTTTAATGCAACACCTCTTTGGAAATGCAGTTACGTGCTTATCCTGGAAAACTCTGGCCCAAAACTGTGTTTTACCTTAGAAATGAGATGGGGGGAAAAGAAAAAGGGAAACTCAATGACACACAGCATAATATCTTCAAGTCTGAGAATGGTTACCCACATGAGAGTATGACTCTTTTTATTTTTGTGTGAAAGTAAAATAAAAACTGTAAGTATATTTAAAAAGATGGTGTTTCCAGAATGACTCTTCAATATTGACCTTTACAGACAGCTGTAGCCAACGTTGGACAGCATTATCACTGACTAGGTGGAAGAGAATTTAACTGTTACCAAGGATGAAAGGTTAATTTCACTCTAGGATGTTAGTAACTGATGACAAAGTCTTGGCCTTGGCCAGTGTAACCATGGCAGGGGTGGGATGGCTGAGAGAGAGGGAGGGAGAAAGAAAGGAGGACCAAAATGGTAGGCAACCACCCCACTGCGGGCAGACCCTGTTAGCAGCCGATGGGGTTGGCGAGAGAAATGAGGGAGAATGAGAGAAGAATTCGTAGGATACAATTTTAGTTGTGGGACCTTTATCCCCACTTCTACTGAAGTAAATAAGGACTCAGCTTTGTCTTTACTAATTACATATACTTGAAGCCTTTATCCCCACTTCTACTAAAATCAATAAGGACCCAGCTTTGTGTCTTTACTGATTACATATATCTGAAGAACAACCTGGCACACATGTGTCTGATATGTCATAGAATTCCTGACCAGAAGCTATGTCCACGATATTGGTAGTAAAAAAAATAAATATCATGTATATTTTGAAGAGCACAAGAAATCTTAGCTTAACTGAGATTACGTGGGTAGTACAGTTTGAAAATTGAATTTTCACGGCCATTTAAAACCAGATGGACTCGGAAGAAAAAAAAAAAAAGGCTCACTCTAATCCCAGTGGTCACTTAGGACCTGATTAATGAGTCACTGCGCAGGCAAGAGGACGCAGAACTTCCTGCATGCCCGGCCCCGGGACGCCACTTAGACACATGCCTGTGTGTTTTCACTGTGAGGTTTCTTACCTTCGGCTGAAATGCTCCTTGTAGTGAACCAAAAGGGCCAGTGGGCGGAATCATAGGGGGGATGCCCGACACTGCAGGAGGATAGGAATGGAAGAGCTGTGGCCAAAGACGGAGAGGGGGAAAAAAGATTTTAGTAGGAGGCAAGTGACATATTCAAATTCCCGTCCCATTGAAAGACATCGACATGAGCAAGCCAAGTAATCTCAGTTTGATGCTATTAGTCAAGAAGCCATGATGGGATGATCACACAGATGCGCCATGAATGTGTAACTTCAAAAGTTAAAAGTAGTTCAGGATCAATCAGCCAGCAAATGACGTCCTGGGTGAGGGCATCATTAGAAAGGGAGCTTTTCTAATTATTAATTGTTAAATCAGAAGTCCTAAATGATTGGAGATTTTAATGCATTTCAAAAACAGGAGGGACTCTGAGCCAAATAAGATGCCCAGAAAATTACAAGTTAATTAGGGGGAAAAAAAGGCAGAAAAAAGAAAAAAAAAAGGGAAGAAAAAGAAGTCTTCATGAGTGCCAGGATTTTATACCATTAAAACTCGATTAGTACTTTTAGACTTTTAATAGTGTGAGGAAATGAGAACATATTCACAATCCTTGCTTCATTAGGCTGTTGTAGAAGTGGCAGTTCCAGAGGACAATTTAATTCTCTCATCTAAAATAATGACAAATATGTGTGAAAGGGTAAAATAAAACGACTCGATGTATACTTTAAATGGAGCTGCCAATTGGCCTAGAAGATGGATTCTAGTTGCACAGAAATAACCCGAGTCTGGAATATCACTATCGAGCTTTCACTTGCTCTTGTTTAAGTCTCAGGTGCTTAAAGCACTTCTGTATGAACATATGAAATCTGAATTTTTATGGCCACTTCTCAACGGTTTCTGCTATTAAATGAACAAGCTCTTTGGAGGATACTCAAGCCAAGCCCTTCACGTAGGAGTCCACTCTATGATGGTAACAGAATGAGTCTGAATGAAGACTATGAATTTTCCTCAATCAACAGTCTATAAAAGGACACAATTGAGGAAAGACATACAGAGAGAAGGCAATGCAAACACATCTTTCCCTCCTTCTAAAAATTTAATCTTTTTGAGGTCCTATTGGTCTGGTTCCATTTACTGTGATCAAGCCACCATACAAATATTTTAAAGAATGCCCCACCCTTGTGGTTGTTTATTATGTCAAAATTACAACAGTAATTGAAGCTCTTCCTCGTAAAGTATTTGTGTCAGTTATTTTTAGTAATTCACATTTTGCAATCCCATTTTCAGAGCACGTCCTTTTTCTGTTGGTCTTTATTTCATTTTGCTCCCTTCAATGATGCAGCAAAGTTTTTCAGACTAATTGATATTGAACTAAATCCACTTAAATAGTGATTGCAAACCAAGTGCCCTCATTTAAAACTACTTTTAAGTCTAAAATTGTGTTTTAGATACTTGAGTGCATTGCATCTTAATTCCCCTTATAATGTCCTAATCCCCAAAGCAGGGGAGACTGAGTACTTCATATATTATCCACTATAACTCCTAATATGAAATAACTCTCCCACAGTACACTGAATAAAGCTGAGTAATTAAATACATGCCACAGTAAAACACACTCAGATCTCTATACTCTGCCTCCAGGTGGGCATTTTCCCTTTAAGTTTACAATTTAAAAATTGGATGTTCTTACTACTTTCTTTTTGTTTTATTCCATTACTGACCTCTTAGAACATAAATATAGCTGATCATTCCTCCCCCGACTAAAAACCTGAAGCGCCTAATAATACATACACTTTCCAAAAATTCAGGCCTCCAGGCTTATTCTCCATCTTCGGCCTAGGACTGTAGAATATGCATATAAGAAGGCACCGCAGTGGGTCCTAGAAAGTAAATCTGAGCCACTTGTTGGGCACGTTGAACTTTCTATATGAATTATTGTGTTAGCTGGTCCTTACTTTAAATCAGCAAAGTATAGACTGGGGCATAATGGTGCCATCCATGGGCCAGACCCAAAGAGGAAATCCACAGGTCTACTGGGCTTTGGGTGTCCCCGTGAAATCTGTTTTTGTATCCCAGTACTGAGCAGAACAGGAGGGGACCATGTTGGGAGGGATGGGGAGGAGTCATCAAATATACTTTTCTAACTTCTTTTTAAAGAGGTCTTTCATCTTATGTTATTTCTGAATGCCCCTAGAGTACATAATTCTCAATTGATTTCTAATATTTACTAGTCTTGACTTCTCAGCTGCACTCTTGACTAACATGGTATCTAATTATCTGGTTCACAGTATGAATGAATTCAGTCTTTGCTGACCTATTAAAGTAGCACTTCTACTCAAATGGTTAAGAGAACACTATCTACAAACCTAAGCAAGAACAGTTGAGTATGGTGAATCAACATGGCTACAAGCAATGATTAACCTTCTCTTTTTTCTGGTTTCATAAAAAAAAAAAAATCACTGGCAAAGAAACTTGCAAATTTTCAGATAAAAATGATGCAGTATTCACCCCATCATCAAAATATCATGGAAATATTCAAGGTCTTTGAATAAAAATAAGCTCTTGTCTTACAAGTTAACTGAACATATAACTTAGGGTGTTATCAATTGAAGTTCCAGAACGTACTCTTAAAATTGCATAAAACAAGTTTTTTTTTTTTTTTTGGTTTGTTTTTGTGTTTTTTTTTTTTTAATAAAGGAGAATGAGTTTAAAGAGAAAATATCACTCATTTCAATTTTGGGAGTTTATTTTAATTAAGTGATATTTTTACTTTCCATTGCAACAAACTCAACAGAACAATACCAGTCATGTGGAAGAGGGTTCTACATTTAGTCTAGAGCAAATGAAAATCTACTCGTTGAAGAGTCATGAGTCAAAAAGACAAGGGACTTTCTATTTAGAGGAAATAATTCAGGTTGCATTCCAGGACTTCTGTGTTAGTGACATTTCAACTGACGACTGAAATGCTGTGATTTCGGACTCTCCTGGAACTCTGCTGACTCCACTGCAGACACCTCACTTTGCAGGACAGATGCCTGACTGCCACTAAAGAGCAACTCTGCTTTCAAGCCTTCGGAGTGCTTATGATCTTTTGATTCAGAAGATGATACTGCATCTTTACCAAAAGCAAAACACCACAAAAGCAAGCATCCAAAGTGGCAAGGAGCAATGGGAACTCTTGCAAAGATGATTAAGGAAGGCTGCTAGTCATTGACTGATCTGTGGCAACAGCACAAAAATGGCAAAGCGGTTACATTCAATGTGTAGCATGGTAATGAAACTCACACTGTGCCGGTAGAATGGGTCAACTTTTGTAGGGTATTTGTCAAACTGTAAAGGGATCAAAGCAAAAGCTAGTTACTTAATCTGCATTTTTGTTCACTGCTACAGTGGAGGTGGCCCTACAAAGCTTCCCTGTCATTAAGTTGTCATCAGACCCAATAACCTCATTATATATGAAACCATTCTGAGCTCCTGAGTCTCCCTGACAAGAAGACAACAAAAATGGAAGAACAAAGTGAAAAACCAAGTGGTCCATTTGGGTTATGCACATACTAGGATGCCTTTCTTCCTACTATTTTCTTTCTACAGATTGGCACGAACCAAACATCTAAACAGGAGAGAATAGGCAATTATCCAGATAAATCAGAGAGAGGTGAGCATTTGGTCTGATTTACCCAGTGAATTCCCCCTATTTTCATCTTTACTTTGGCAGAAAAACTGTCTTGCCATGCAGCTGTCTTCTGAAATGTATGACACCCAAATACAAAGTGATCTGGGGTAGGCCAGACAGCCTTTCATTTGAACAGAAAAAGAGTATACTATTGTCCCCTCTAAATAATGTCATCATATTGATGCTATAACTACCCTTGGTTAAATTAATTTGTGAAACAGCTCACACAGGCCAGCAGAAAACTTTCTCAAAATCTTAGGATCTTCAAAATCTAATTGTTGAGAAGTATAGTTCATCCAAAAAAGAGATACAGGATTTGCTATTAAAAACATATTTCTGCTCACAAGGCCTCATTGCTAATATTCCTTGAAATGAAATTTATAAAACAAACTTTAAAAACATATTTTTAAAAAGTAAGTTGAATAAGATGGGGGAGGGAGAGGAAGGAGAGGAAGCAAACTTGGGTGAAGTGGACTCCTTTTAAAATCATGCAATTTATTCTCATAATGCCTATAGTGACGACCTTAAAATCCAGTATTTTCTGAAATACTAAAAATTAAGTAAAAAATGACTCTAATACTCACTGTTAGACAGGACTCTATCTGAGAATATTTACCATTCTAATATGGCACTATTAATTATGGTTATCCACTTTAAAAAAAGAAATTCCTAACTGGTTCTGGACACGTGCTAGCCCCCAGTGAAGACCAAGACCATGTCATGGCCAGTGGTTCCTCTTGCCCCAAGGCAGAGAGTTCTGTCCCTGCAGGGATCCCTGAACACTTGCTGACAGAGCACAATACCAGATTGGGGACTGTCTTATGAAACACAAGAAATACAACACCTCCAACAAAGTGGGTTTAGGGAAGCCATCGGAATGCGCAGGTGGACGTGGCACCCAACGCAGTCCCAGCCTCCTGGCTGAGGTCTCTCTCCCTTCTCTTCTTCATCCCCATTACCCTGCAAGAATGTATGTGCTAGCACTTGATGCAAAGCACAAGCAGGTGCATTTTCTGTCTGGTGACAGTCTCCCGGGATGCTCAAAAAAACAAAACAACCCTTTTTAAGAAGTTAGCCATCAACACTGGGCACGACTGTTTTGAGGGCAGATGGAATCATTTCTACCGGCAGTGCTGGATACCACTGCCCAGAAAGAAGTTCCTACTGTAGGCCCCTGAAGTCAGAGCTGCCTGAGGCAGGGTACTAGACACATTCCCTTCTCTCCAGCAAACAGCCGTCACTCCCCATTCGATCTCTGGTGGCCCCGCTGCCCAGCCCGGTCCCACGTGCTGCATAAAGAAAAGAGTCGTGCTCTACTTATCCTCACATTTCTGCCTGGGGTACGCACCATGGGAGGTGCTGGCGTCGGCATGATGGCGGTGGGCGGGATGGCGTGGGGGAACGGCGTGAAGGTGTGCTGGTGCGTGTGCTGGTGGGTGTGCTGGTGCTGGTGCTGGTGCTGATGGAACTCGGTCCGCAGGTAGGGCGGAGGGCCCAGCGAAGCCCCGCGGTCAGCACTCTGAGAGGCCAAAAAACGAGTGTTCAGTTCCTGTCGCAAGATGTCTTGCTCTGGAAGAGAAGAAGAGGGAGACAATGACACCTTTTCCTTCAGAACAGGACATCGGAGTGCCTTCCTGTGGAGGGATACGGGGCTGATGACACAGTGGCAGGGGTGACAGGGTGCGGCTGGGCCCTGAGATAAAAGGGGGCAATCAATGAAGCAGAGGAGACCAAGGCCCAGTCGCACCCTGTCTCCCTGTTCTCTAGCTGGTCTCCCAGCTTTCAGGGACAGGCAGTCTATCGATTTGGGGAAAAGCTCCAGGCCAAACGCCAGAGTCCGATTTCCAGCTGTCACCACCAGCTGAGTGACCCTGGGCAGGGCAAATAACCCATCCGAGGGCCAGTTTTCCCATCTTCAAGAGGGGGACAATAATACTGCCTAACTCATGGGTTTGATTTTTGAGGGTTAAAGCAATTTGCACATTTAAGTGCTTGGAAACAGTGACAGCACACTAATAAATGTCAGCTGTTCACATGGCAGGGCTCGCACGCCCTCTTCAAGTGTCAATTACTGCTATATGGCTCTCTGTATTAGCAGCATACCATGGCTACACTGGACCAGAACTGGGACACTTGACCTGATTAACACAGGTGAGGAGACAAGGACCCTGTGTCTAACATGAGGTCTGCCCTTAAAATTCTGGGATATATTGTCACAAAGAGTGTGTCATCTCCTCCCAAGGAGACCAGAGAAGGCCCTGCCCAGTGAAAAGAAACCCCTTAAACCAGGACGCAATCTAAGATCCTGGAGCGAAACAGACATGGGCTTGGGGACGTTTCCATCGCTCTCAGGAGAGCCCAGACGACACAGGACACACGCTACCTGCGTCTGACCACTCAGTGGCTGAATTTAGCTGGAAATGCCTCCTAACTCCAAACAAACCTCCTCTCTTCGGGCAGTGTCAGGTTCACAGGGGCTGAGCTAAGCTTAGTATGGGTGCTGACAGGTATTTTTGCTGGACCTCAGGCCAGAGAGCGTTTGAGGAAGATTAGAGTAAGGAAGGAAAAAATTGTAGGCAAATGCAACCTTGCAATCGGGACAACATAGGTAGGGTGAGGTCACAGCCAGGGGTGGTGGGTGTCGGGGTCATGAGCACAGGCCCCTCGGTCCTACCTGAGTAAGTGCTCCCGGCCGGGTGTCCGGCCACCTGCAGACTTCCTGATGTCAGTGGTGGTGGAGGAGGCAGAGCAGTGGGAGGGGCAAACATATTGGGGTGATGTGAGTGTGCGGGGGGCTGGAGGGTGGGTGTGAAGCTGTGCAGGGGGCTGTGGTTGGGCAGGGAGAGGGGGAATGGGGAGGCAGAGGGGTGGTGGGAGATGTGAGGAGGGGCGGGCTGAGTCTTTGCTGGAGTGCTGCTTCTGCTACTGCTATCGGAGCAAGAAAAAACAGAAAAGAAAAAAATAAAAAAAGGTAAGCAATGTATTCGCTTTTAAAGAATCCTATCTCCTTCCCCTAAACCCTCACCACAGTCTCTCTTGCCCCTTCCTCTTTACAGATCCTCCCCGTACGCACACACTTTCTGAAATTACAACTCCTGCAAACTTTCCCATCGTTACTGCCGACAGAGCAAACGAAACTGCTGCTTCAGGGCTGTGGGGCATCTTGATGTCGAGACAGCTCATTCTGCCTAAACCTCAGGGCCTCTCTCGTTCCTGTGGCCAGATTCTCATCTCTGCCCCTAGAAAATCCCCAGCCTTCCATTCTCCACTAGCTACATCTCCTATAAAGTAACAGTTAACACAAAGGAATAAAAAACACGATGATCTGAGTTCACCCCATCTGTCTTGTTACCTCTTAAATGAAGACACACAAAGAAGAGGTGAAACCCAGGTGCCTGGGTTCTCACATCACTTTATGGTCTGGAGACCACAGAAACAGCCGAGGGGTCAGAAGCCGGGCCTGGCTCCTTGGGGAAGAAACCTGCCTCCCAAAGACTGGGCCGTCGCCTCTTAGGAAATAGCAAGGCCCGGAACCACCAAAGCCTCCAGGTTTTCAAAAGGAAAACAGTAACAAAGACACACAGCCTCAGGAGCTGTGCCGGGTTAGAATTATAGCCCCCGGGGCACCAAGGGTTGGCTCCACTTGGCGCTGCACACTGGGTTTCTGCCTCTCTTTTCTTTGCTGTGTTCCTCTGTGCTGCTTTTTAGACGTTTCTCTGTAACTTGGCAAAAACAAGACCGAGGAGAGCCTGGATTTCCATACAGAAATTTCTCACTTTCTCTAAACGCAGCTTGTTTTCTTTCTTCCCTACTTCTCTGACCCACATAGGAGGAAGTAAATCAGAACCAAAAAAAAAAAAAAAAATCCTTATACTGGGATACTCATTGGCTCCCAATCTTCCTGCCTTTGGAACTGCAGGGAGACAAGTTTTCTTTAATACTTCTTCTGTCAGAGTTTGCAAGAGCCTGCCTTGAAAAGATCTGCTCACAGTGCGTGGCCTCTGATATGCCCCAGGCTTCGATTCCCTGCCTCCCACTGCTGCTGGGTCTCCCTGGCCCAGGACTTTCCACGCCTTCCTCACCTTCCGCCTCCACTCTCTCGAGTGCCTAAAATATTTTCCTTCCTTACAATGTCCTCACCACCCACCCATCCCAACCTGTCCTTTCCCAAGAGACCCGAGTCTCACCCAACAGCCCCATTCCCTGTCTCTAGTCTCAGAGAAAGGGATGATGTTTCCAACAAGGAAACTTCAGTCTCCCTAGGGATCCCTCCCCGAGTCCCACCCACCTGATCCCCAGGGAGAGGGCAACACTCAGGCCAAAGAAGAGCAGGCCACTCACCTTAAACTGTTGAGGCTTAAGCTACTGCTGTTGTAGGCTGACAATGGCTGGGAGAGGCTCTGAGCGGAGGGGTGGGCCTGCACAGGTGGGAGGTTCTGATGGAGCAGCTGGGTGGGGGACTGTGGCCTGGGTGGCCTCTGCACCTGAGGCTGCGGAGCGGGCTGGAGCTGGGCCTCAGGAGGGCCCTGTGGTGGCTGTGTAATCGGAGGTGGGGGCTGAGGTGGGGCCTCTGTGCGCTGCACCAAGTCAGGGTCTGGAGAAGGAGCTCGGAGTTGGGGCTCCGGCTGGGGCTGGGGTATCGGCTGTGCGACCTGAGGGCAGGGGTCTTTAAGCACCACAGGCTCAAAGATCGGCTCTTTGCAACAGTCCTGGCTCTTCTCCTGGCTTCTCTCTAGACCCGATATCTTGGGGACAATTGGCCCTGCATCCTGGCTGTCATGTTCTGGTAGCGTGCCAACACCTAACTCCGGATCTGCATGGGAGAGAGCAAAGACAAAACCACAGGCAACGACATGTGAGTGTGGGGTAATGAGGGAAAGCAAACTCCAAAGCTATCACACAGCTCCAGCAACCGGACCTGGCACCAACCCTCCTCACTTGGGTCCTTGTCTCCACCACCTGCAGCAGTATGTGCCCACAGCAAATGGGTCAATGGTGGACAGAGAAAGATGCAGGAACAGCCTTTGCCCATGGAGAGCAATGCCCCTGGGGATGTGGGAGGGGAGAGAAAGGCCAACCGGCCAGAGGAGACTGCATTCAAGAAAGCAGCCTAGCACCAGGCATGGGGGCTCACACCTGTAATCTCAACACTTTGAGAGGCCGAGCTGGGAGGGTTGCTTGAGCCCAGGAGTTCGAGATCAGTCTGGGCAACATAGCACGACCCTGACTCTCCAAAAAAAATTAGCCAGGTGTGTGCTACAGTCCAAGCTACTCGGGAGGCTGAGGTAGAAGGATCGCTTGAGCCCATGAGTTCAAGAGCACCCTGGGCAACCTAGCGAGATTCGAGATTCGAGATTCCGTCTCTATAAAAGAAAAAACAGCAGCCTAGACTACATTCTGAAAATGAATGTTTTCCTTAACCTCCAGGAAGTCTTTTATGGCATCACAATTAAGAAACAATAGTTGACAAGTTGATTTTTCCCTTTTAAAACAAATACATTTGTTGAATACACAAAAGAAAGTGTTTTCAATAGCAAATGAGTCAAACATTATTTAACATCACACGGATGTTTTTCCTTGGCCTTCCCTTCCTCCCCACTTTCCACTTTGACCAACGGGACACACTTCACATTTACGGGTAATTTTTGGTTGAGCAAGTGCTGAACTTTCAAGTCAAAAGGCAGGTCTCTTAATGCCCATCACCTGATCCCAGCAACATCTGCGATCAAAGGTGCAAACGGGAACTGAAATACAGTTTCCCGTCAACTACACTTGCTAGAGCTTTTAAGAAAGTCCCCTTGGACCACATGGGGGTCCACACGCAACTAAGTTAAAGGGGTGCTGGACGTTGAGAATAAGCTTGGATATTAAATTTAAGGGAAATTCTACACTCGTGAATGAAATACAGAAAATAGCTGCTCCTGTATGGATGTAAAAGATGTACTCCCTCCAAAGGTCAAAAGATCTAAGGGCCACGTTTAGTAGAATGGCTTATCTGACTACCCCATAAGCCAAGCTCCATAAAAATCTCAAACCAGAGTAACGAAAGACCAACAGGGCATTCAATAGAAAAGAATGGCCCCATTTGGGAGTAAGTACTTTTGTATACGACTAGGGGAAAATTACCCTTCCCACATTTTTGTGCTAAAAAGATGCATCCTTTTATTAGTACACAGTTTCAAAAGAGAAAAAGAATAGATGACAACATCCTTTGACAGTGTTTTTCAGGCATTCTTAAATGAACTACCCTGGGCGTTAACTTTCTCCTCTTACCTCACTGTATCAAACGGGAAAAGTATGTGGTATTCTTGTTGGTTCTGTGTATTTCTGGGGTTTTCTGTCTGTTTTTTGTTTTACAGGTGGGGTCTCCCCAGGTTGTTTAGGCTGGACTGCACTGGACATTCACATGTGTGATCACAGCACACTACAGCTCCAACTCCTGGGCCCACGGGTTCATCCTGCCTCAGCCTCCTGGGTAGCCAGGATTAGAGGGGCCTGCCACTGTGCCCAGCTTACATATTTCTGTTTTTGTATTGTTGTATATACACACTTGTTTGCCATTATTCCTTGGAATTCTCATCAAAGCAATTCATTATTTTCAATGTTCTTTTGGTAACACAGATCAAACCGGTAACATGCACAAAAGCAAAAACAAAACTTGGGTTTATAAACAAAGCACATTTTTGGCTAACAGGAACTTGGCTATCGTCACATCTCTCCAAACAGCCTGGAACAATAACACTGAGATGGGAAGAAAGCTGCCTTCTTCACATGCTTCAGAGGTATGAAAAGATCGAGCACTTGGTAAAGCGCTGATGAAAAGGAACTCTGCACTTCTGACACACATTTCTGTCCAGTGCTGTCTTACCAACCTTTCTGGGAAGATTTTTGCTCAGGATAACGCTGAAATTGAAAGGCTTCTCAAAACCTTCCTTTCTAACTTTAGGGCTGAAGGAACACCCCAAGCCCTTGCTGTGGATAGGCCCCATCCAGCTAGCAAAGCTCCTGGATCCAATGAGGAAGGAAGGCCCTTTATTCAGCGATGTCACAGTTAGGGATCCGGCTCTGTGTCTCTCCATGTGTCTTCACAAAATTTCCCATCTTTTTCTTTCACAGGATTTTCCCATAGCAAGCTAATATCAAAGGCACTGAAAAATCACATGCTTCATATGTATGATCCAGGCCTGTGAGTCAGGTCTGGGACAGAAAGTAACAACAGCCCAGAAATCCTAACAGCACAAGACAGAGGACGGGTTTCACTCAACGAGAAGTTCTAAGTATCTGAGCAGGACTCTTCTCACACTGACAGCTAATTTAGCATTTTTATGATTGGTACAATGGCAGAAACACTTTTTAAAAATCTTTTGGTATGACTCTGTTCTCTCCAGACTGGGCTGGTGAAGAAATCAGTAAATACTTTCTATCTTGGTAAGTATACATTCAAATTCCCTCCAAAAATCACTGTCCGAAGTTTCTCCCTCAAACGAAAGCAAGCTTCCTTTTCCAAAGGACACCACTCAGAGGATATCACTTGCACTCACTTATGCTGGTAAGGAGGCACATCAGAGACCCATAAAGAAGTACTACAGACATCTAGCTTGACTCTGTTTACCCCCTTGTTCTTGAATGAGCCTCAAGAATTTGGACAACACAGCCAAACTTGCAGATGGCATCCTGCAGGCTTGGGCTCGCTGTCCAAGGCTCTGGAGTTGACTTTCTTGTCTCCTCTGTTGCCTCACTATCTCAATCTCAACCTAACCACAGCTAGAACATGAGGGAGTGGTGCCAAGGCTGTGGCCGTCACCACCACCTCCAACAAGCTACCAAAGATGAAGGGAAGACCCAAACCTCTCCAGGGAACTGTGCAAATCTGTACGGCACTCCTTTCACTTTAATGCACGCTCAAATCACCTGGACATCTGATTACAATTCCCATCCAGATTCCACAGCTCTGGGATGGGGCTCTAGATTCTGCCTTTCTGAGGATCTTCTAGGTAAGGCTGAGGCTGCTGATGCGTGGATCACATTTTGAGTAGCAGGATCTAATCTAACACTCTCTGACCAGATCGGGAATATGCCCAGAGAAGGGAAGGAATTTGCCTGCTGGAAGTCATGTCCTTGTTTTGTAAACCAGAAGGCTTGAGTTCCAGTCCCAGCTCTGCCAACACCAACTACCTTTTCTGCAGTCTATACTATGCTGCCTCCTAAAAAGCAAAAGTCGCAAAGCAAAGCAGGTAATGATAAATCCAGGATTCAGTTACAATATTTAAGTACATCAGACTTAAAGTGTAGAGGGTTAGTAAAGCTACAAAGAGTTGCTGGAACACTGCACTTCAGCTAGCCCTGAAAGCAATCAGTCCCTCAATGCTCTGGTCCTGCAACCTATAAACAAAGCAGTGACGAGTTTGAGCTGGTAAGAACTTTGGGGGCTGAAACAGTTTTACGACTCCCCATTTACAAGAGTCTCTTGAGGCACAGGTTAGGCGTCAGGCATTTTTGTGGCTAATCGGTAATGCATTTCCTCTTCCTTTCAATTATTCAATAAATGTAATCTTCCCAGTTAAGCTTTTCCATCTTGACAGTCAATTTGTCTTACTGCACTTCTCCAAAATTGGTAGGAACACATTTTAAGAAATCAGCTGGTATTGCACTGCATATTCTGAATTTGTCAAAGGATAAAGGAAGGAATGAAATTTGCTGAATTTGAAAGAAATAAGAATGTACAAATTGAGTAGTCTTATTTAAATGTTGTATTCATTACATTTTGGGGTTTAAAAATCTCTCTTCCTGTGATTATAAAAATAGTTCATCATACTTATACTGAAAGACATGCAAATTCAAATTACACTGAATACAGTACAAAGGGTGGATTTATTGCATATAAATTGTACCTCAATAAACAAACTTTAAGAGATTAGGAAAAATTGGTTTGATTTTGATACATGTTTGATACAAGTTGCCTGGGGAAAATGGACCCTTTTTCTGTACTTTACTTTACTAGTAGAATGCAAACACTATAACCTCTGTGGGGGACAATTTGGCAACGTTTTGCAAAGTAACAAATGGAGTTCCCTTGGTGTGGTGTGTTAAGGATTTCGTCTACAGACACTATGAAACAATACCGTGGTTTGGATACCAAGTTTGGAAGCCACCCAAATGTAATCATAAGGAGACTGGTTACAGACATTTGCAGATCCACACAATGGAACACCTTGCGGCAGTAAAAAGGAATGCCGCATGTACAGCGTATAGCATTTACTATCTTTTGTGGAAAATGGAGGGAAATAATATATATATATATATTCATTTTATTTTACATACAAAGAACCTGTGTGGCCGGGTGCAGCGGCTCACACCTGCAATCCTAGCACTTTGGGAGGCCGAGGCAGGTGGATCGCTTCAGGTCAGAAGTTCAACACCAGCCTGGCCAACATGGTGAAACTCCAACTGTACTCCAAATACAAAAATTAGCCAGGTGTGGTGGTGCCCGCCTGTGATCCCAGCTACTTGGGAAGCTGAGGCAGGAGAATCTCTTGAACCCGGCAGGAGGAGGTTGCAGTGAGCTGAGATTGCACTATTACACTCAAGCCTGAGTGACAGAGCAAGACCCTGTTTCCAAAAAAAAAAAAAAAAAAAAAAAAAAAGAAGCAGCTGTGGAAGAATACTCAAGAAACTAGTAACAGTGGCTACCTGTTTGGGGGCTTGGGAGGAGTGAGAACTGGATAGACAGGGAACTGGAGGGTGCATGTGTGTATATGCATAAAAAATAAGAAAATGTAATCTGTGAATGTGTAAAAAATTTGAAAATAAAAA